GGGTACGAGATTGCACAAGTACTACAGACCTCTCAACTTTGCAGAGAAGTTAAGAGTGAGATTGGGGATGTGGATGACATGCACCTTTGTAAACGTCCGGGGGTATGAAATGGCATTTCGTACATTAGGCCACTACAAGTTAATCTTTAGTTTCTGGTCCGGCCTTAAGCTCGTTCTCCACTACGCGAATTTGTTCGCGCGACGCGAAAACCGAAATCCGGCAACGTGATTGGTCGGCGAAAAAATTCGCGGCGAAAAAGTAGGATCGCTTCCTACTTTTTATCTATTCGCGCGAATAAATTCGCCTAGTGGAGAACGGGCTTTACCTTCGTTTACGACGCGGGCGGGCGGGTGGTTAGGACTATAGGACGTAATTATTATTAGGCTTTCTTGTCCCTTTTCATGCTAATAGTATCAAAATGTTATGAAATTTTACATAAATTGCATTTATATTATTTATAAATCGACATGTATGACAGATTACAAAGGATTTTACATATCAAAATGATCTATTAATATTTCTATTTTTTTTACCTCGTAATCTCGATAAGGCAGCGCGGTTTTTACCATTCAATACTACATTTTGCTAGGTCTTTTTAGTGTAAATTGAATATTTATCGTTCTATAAGTTAAATCCTTCGCGAAAATTTTCAAGAACTAGAAATTAATTGTAAATAACAAAATGGTCCTGAAATAATACTTTGCGGAGAAAGGACGCGGGCGGCGGACCAGAAACTATAGATTAACTTGTAGTGGCCTTATGAGAGTTGGTGTTTTTTAATGAAATACATTGCTTCATAACGTCCCCTTAGTCTAAGACAAGGCACTTTAGTTACAATAACTGTATTTCTGTGACATACAGTAATCAGCTTTAATTTGCCTATGATAATTTTAATACATATAGAATTCTGCTCGAACTGATTCTGCCTTTTGTCCGCCATATTTACATATGCATACTATTTTGTATCCAAATTGCGGGCAAATTGTCGGGCCGTATATGCAGGAACAAGAACATGCGATTATATATTCGAATCGGCGATCCGTATGATTAATAATGTGCATTTAAGAATACAATATTATATTATTGAAACAAAATCCTATGAAACTGCTATATGCGTTTATGCGTGAGATTTAATAAACATGGCGTGAGAGCGTGAAAGTGAAAATGAAGCGAATTGCGTGAGACTCACGCCAAATGCGTGAGAGTTGAGAGTTCTGGTACTAACCTTCCGTAACATCTACAATCGGAAACTTGGATGGGATGTTTAGTTGCCTAAAGATCTCAAGAATCGATGGGAGAGATAGTTAGTCTAGTTAGACAGTCTGATCTTCCAAGTGTATAAGTGTGTTGACTTTCTCAAGATGCATTCCTCAAGAGAGAGAGAGAGAGAGTTCTCATGGCTGCTGCGATCCAAAGCAAGATTGATGATGCGTGATTTTATACGATTCCAAGAATGGAACTGGTCAGCTATCATATGGCCTGTAAGCCTGTTCCGTAATCATCAATACCAGAAAAGTTCTTAGTTATCTTATTTGCGTGGACCGATTCAACCGTTAGGATTGACGAATAGGGTAACTACAAAACTACAAGCAGCTGGTATCCAATCGCATGAAAAAGATTAACAATATGCCAGTGGAGTGGAGGTATGTTCCCATACGAAAACCCAGAAGATATTGGCAGTCGAAATAAAACGCAACAGCTACAAGTCAATGAAACCTGGATAAATTTACAGATCAAACCGACCGAAAAGTCCGAGTCCGAAAGTCGGAAGTGATGAAGGCTACCGTTCAGAAAGAAGCTGATTTTGTCGATATAGTCTGCTAGAGAAATTCTACAACGTCGACGTCAGCTAGAACCGACGTCAGACCTGAGCAGAGGACTACGACTAGGACGTCATCCTATATAAATAAACATCCACTTACGATTCATGACGTCGACCTTTAAACTATAAACATTTACATCCTTTTGAAAATGAATTTTAATTTAAAGAGACGCGTGAATTCATTATCGTTTGTCATGCTCTTGTATCCATCATCCATGCACGAGGATAAAACTCTTATTGTGAAGTTGTCGACGTTTGGTGGACGACGAGCAAATTGAGAGAGACGCATGCGCACTTCAAAAATTATTGCCAATTTACTTGCGCTTGCCGTCCTACATATTTAACGTCGTAGATCTTAGGCTATCTATTTATTTAGGACGAAGCTGACGTAAACGTCGTCGTATCTATCATCAGTGTCAAGAATAGTGTGCTGCCTCGCTGTGTTATGTACTATTTAAAACACGAGTAGGAGTGTTTTATCAGATATAAAACGCGAGGCGCAGCCGAGCGTTTTATGTCTGATAAAACACGACAACGAGTGTTTTGAATAGCTTAAAATACGACTACAAAAGAATACTGATTAGGATGAACATTATATAATCATACTAATTAGGATGAACAATTATATAATGCCACTTGCTTTATCAGATATAAAGTCACTCCACGTGACATATTATGGCCGACATGATTTGCCACAAGGTTTATGAATTATTAATGAGTATTTTAAATATATATATAACATTCTTATCAATAAATTTATTTTAATTATATTGTCTATAATTATTTATTATGGGCATTTAGATTAAATTATACAAAATTAAACCTTGCAAGCCAACCTCTCTAATTCCGCTTAGCGTGCTTGGGAGGGAATCGGAAGTAGAGAGCCTTGGCTTGCGAGGTTGTACAAAATTAAATATTATAAATTAAATATTATATTAGTATCATACTGAAGTTTCATAGTAAGGTAATGCCCCTGCAATAGCAAGGTCGTCAAGAAAACAGTGGGAAACATCTTCTCTCACTTCACTACTTTCAACATCAGTTTTTCTTGCATTGCTCTTCTCCGCCAATGAAAAATATTTTTCAACTTTCACACGTGAACTTATAGCAAAAAGAACAGCGGCTATCATAGGAATCACAAACATAAAATATAATACGTAACGAAAGTCGCCAGTAATGTCAAATACCCAACCTATATAATATAAAACATTCATAAATGAGAAGCACAAAAGCACTGGCGAGCTAGCCTTGGCACAGATTAAGTATATACCAGATATGTCACTTCATAGTGTTCTCAAATTTCCCTAAGCTGTACAGGTCCACGTCATGACCATTGAAGGTCATGACCAAAGAAATAATAGATAGGTGTTTGTACATACTGGTACAACCCAACGCTGAACATGTATTTGGCATATTTTTGGTTGTTTTTTTTAGTAAAACATCGTTTCCAAAGGCAGATATAAAAAAATTTATGCGAAATAACAAATGAACTTGCACTCCTAGTCAAATTCAAACATGGCGGATTTATAAGGGCACGCATGAGAAAAAGTGGAGACATGATTCGTGATCAAGTACGCATTCTATATCTATTATTTCTATGGTCATGACACTTGCTAGGAAGATGGCGACGTAACAAAAGTATTTCCAAATGACGAATTATCACGCGAGCAATACTTACTAGGAAGGTGGCGACCGTGGGACAACCACTGGGGACTGAACCTTTTCACCGAAGTTACACATCTGTTGATACGTAATCTGTAGCCATGGCAACTGGTCATACTATACCAGGGAGTCCAAATATATTGTCACATAATAAACAAACTTTATTCGAACTAGCGCAGGGCAGGGTAAAATTGCTTCGGCCCCTCCTGGGATTTTTTCTTTGACTAGAAATCCTGTCACTGCGCTATGCTAATAAACCTGTACCAAATTAGTTTTAAGACAGTGGATTTCTATACTATAGGTTTGAATAATACAATCATTCAAAAATTTGCATAGCATGTCCAGTTGCTATACTTTAACTTCGCCACAGCACAAAAGCTTTATTATGTATTATTTAATTTACCTTTTCTTAATCTTATTTTTATCTTTAAAATTGGCTGTATTAACGGGGTATATCATTATATGAAAATGCATTGGCGTTTTTTGGAGCATTTGAGGTAGTTGCATCCCTACCAACGAAAGCTTGACAAAAATAAGTGGTCGTAATAAAGAGGTGACTGACAGCCTTACGGCCAACCCTTTAATACAGACTGCATTAAAGCCGTAAGGCGGGTTCCACTGTGGTGCATTTTGGGTGAGAAATTTATTGCTTTCCTGAAATCAAGTCAAGGAGCATTAAATGAGAATAGCAATGCAAACGGCCTACGGCTACGTTTTTTAAAATATGAAACTTTGACAGACTGAGTATTTTACTTCAAAAAATTTGTATAGACTGTGTTTTGTACAAAAGGAAAACAACAAAGATAACACGTATAATAGTGGTAGATTTAGTTTAATTAAGAATCTATCCTTACCTAAAAATGGAGGTCCTGGTAGGCGTGCAAATGCTATAACAAGATTTGCCAAACCGAATGCTTCAGTTGAATGGTAGCCGAATGTAATTTCCACTACAAGAACAGGATATGCAGCCCACCATACCCCATCCACCAGTCCTATTAATGCCATGTACACAATTATCAATGGAAATGACTCAACAAACGAACAAAGAAAACTGAATATACCAAACATTACGCATACTGTTAGATTGATCAATTTAATTTTGCCATATTTCAATGCTTTATCATTCACACGACCAACAAGTAAAGTTCCAACTAACGTTGTCAATCCTTTAACTACCAAAAACCATTTAGCTTTTGACAATGAATAACCCAGCGTCATGCCATAACGAACCTGCACGGAATATATAAAGAATATTGCATTAATTTAGCTGAACGCTTGACATATTATATGGCATTCATATGACGGGTTCGAGTATCTCCCCATACTGGCTTGGTCAATGGCAAATGTTGATACTGTAAACCAATCTAAATATTGTTCTCTTACAGGGGTGAAATTACCGGGTGTGTGTGTGGGGGGGGGGGTGAAACTCCCAGTCTCTATCTCGTCGGGTATATCCATACAATTTCGTCGGGCAAATCTTGAAAATATTCGAGTGTCACGGATCGATAAGTAATAGCTGTATGAAAAACTTTGATAGTTTACGAAAATATTACTGAAAAGTTTTACAAATTACGGTAAATTATTTCAAAAGTTAGTGAAAAATGCTATGTCCGAAATTTTTTTTACCTCCCGCTCGCCAACAATTTTGGGTGAAGAAATATTAATTAGCGACTGAAATGTTCGTCCGTCGGGAACGACTTCGGCAACGCCCTTTTTGTTGGGCAAAACAAGCTCCCCCCCCCAAGCCGTAATACCGAAGTCTCGCCCAGTAAAAGCACGGTTTATTTGATTTTCATCAATTTTGTATTGCGCACTTTTACTGCGCATATCTAATAACAAATTCTACCCAATATATGTAGTCGAACTGCAATGTAAAGTGATAAAGAAAGAGTAAGGGCAAAGAGAAAAACATTTTGCATTGATTAGGCATGCTTCATGAAGTATATACCTTCAAAATGATAGAACTCTGGCCAGGGCTCCCTGTGCAACCAACACTAAACCACATCATGTTGCATGTTTAACCCTTGTATCTCTTTAAGAAGGTCCGTGATCTTACTTTTTTATTTTATATTTTTGTTCTTCTATACGCGCATGCTTCCCAAAATAACATGTCTGAGAAGATGTTTGCACCACGACAATGCACGTCAATAGTTTTTGATTCGCTAAAATACCATGTTTTCTTGTGTATAATCACTAGATAGACATTTTTAGTGGGGTCCTTGTTAAAAAATTGAATAACCGTTGAGCAATTGCGATTGTTCCTGTAACTCGTAAAAGGTGCATGGCCATGGGGGAAAAGGTAGCATATTGTACTTGTCATATTTTCGAAACGAGTTCGGTGACCCCAACTTTTTTCCTGTTGTTATTATGAGCATATGATGAACTTCACAAATTGCAATGGTCATCACCACGCCTTACCAAATAATCCTTGGTCAATAGGCAACGCATAATCAATTTTGACTCGCCATTTATAACAGTTTAAAAAAAGAACAAACACGTGTAGCCTGTAGAGACTGAGTGTCTGCGTGGTCTGGACGTTCATCAGGGGACTGCAATATCAACGTTTGACTGATATAGTAAATATATACAGTCTTATACTCACCATAAAAATATGTGGGACCGTGGAACAAAACAGGTATAACGCTATCCCAACCAAACTGAGTGTGAACGACCTGTCTTGCAAAAGCTCCCAATAAAGCTCCTTTGTTGATTTTTCATTTTTGCATAACCTGATGTCTATGACCTGATGACGAACGACCAAACCATAGCATAAAATGAACGGCAATAAAGCGAGCATAGATAGTAAGGTGTGTTTAATACCCATTCCATTAAAAGCAAATGGTAAAATAAATGACATAACCACTGAACCCAAGGCGTTTGCACTGTAGCGAACACCAACTGCAAAACCAAAGTACTTGCTGAAATATTCTCGCTGAGTGATGATAGAAAGAGTTGAAAAAAAACTTATTGATATTCCAGTCGGGATTGAAAAAGTAAAAAAAACAAAGTTCATGTTTGGTACGAACGGCGTGATAATAAGTGATAAACAGTAAAAGACACTGGACGTTAACATACACCAGAAAAATCCAAGTCGACTGTACATATAGACCACGACAGGAGCTAAAGCAAATATGAGGAAGATAAGAATAGAACCAATCCAGCCTGAAAAAAAAAAGAAAAAAGCACATCGGGTAACTGTCATAATATCCACAAATTAGGTGAACATTGCATCAAAATCTGCAAAGAATCCCTGAGTATTTTAACTCAAAAACCGGAGTAAAATACATGCACCCATGCAATAGTACACTCACATGTATAGTGACTCAAAATTTTCATTGACCAAAATTACTCAAATTTATGAGCAAATTTCCTCAATTTGTTGAGCAAAGTTTCAAATCTGCTCAATTTTTTGGATAAATATTTACGATAGACGTACAAGACAGGGGGCGGGGAGGGGACGCAATTGCCCCCCCCCCCTCCCCGAACAAAATATTTTTAGTAAACCATGGAAATTTGGGCGGAAAATGCATAGGGAAAATTTTAAAAAGTCGGGCAGATTCATAAAAATATGTTAAAGTCAGGTTATTTCAATTCAAACTCCCTAAAATTTTGGACAAACTTTCAACTGCCACCATCAAGCAGCCCCGTACGCGGTAGATTTATTTTACTAAAAAAAGAGTAAATCTGCATGCTCATCTAAAATATGAGTAATTTTACTCAAAATCACCGTGCGTGCACTTATTTTACTTACATTTTTGAGTCAAAGATTTTGCAGTGTAATTCATAAATTTAGGTATTATAATCAAATCCATATTTAAGTCGATTTTTCCGCCATTTTGGGGGTACTACCTCTCCCACGTTTGAGAGTCTCCGCACCAAGAAATACAACTTCAGTTTTTTAGTATTGTAGTCAGGGACGCCGGAACTGGGGGGGCAGGGGGGGCGGCTGCCCCCCCTGCCTTTTGCTAGGGGGGGGCAGGGGGGGCAGAAGTGCCCTTTTAGTTTTAAAAATTACGTGATAAATCACATTTAGAACGATGTTTTTTGTCCGAAAATTATGAGATTCAGACATTTACAGTTTATATTTCACTTATGGTATGTCCGGAAAAAATTTTTGACCCCTAAAATGGTACACTGACCGAAATTTTTTTGGCGAGTTTTGCTTTAGTGAAGTGCCCTTGCTGTGGGTCCGCCCCCCTTTGCCTTATGATCGTTCCGGCGTCCCTGATTGTAGTTGTTTTGATGTTTGTGATGTTACTCTGAGTGTATATCCACACCGGGGGAGCTTGAAAAATATGCCCGGCCACGGCAACTGAGCTACGCGGTCAGGTCGCCGGTTCGAGTAAGTGATATTTCGGAACAGAATCTAGTTCCTTCGATACCAATATAATCTAGTAATATTGGTTTTTCTTTGTTAAACAGGGGCGTAGCTAGAAGGGGTGGGTGGGGGTTGTAACACTACCCATTCATCATAGATTCGGCAAATGTCTGCTAGACTCGGCAAATTGTTTTCGGAAAATTGTTTTCGTGGTGAGCGAAAATATTTGAGTGGCTCGGAATTAAAAATTACGATATGTCGGGAAAAATGTTTGTATTTACGGAAAAATTATGACTTATGTGCGGAAAATTTTTGTATGTTCGGAAAAAATTTTGCGACCTCCCCCTCTCCCCACCCGCTCGCCAACAATTTTGGGAAAAGAAATATTAATTAGAAAGGTTAATTATGTTAAAGCGTCCAAGGAATTAGTATTAACCCTATTCCTGATAAGATTCTAATTTTCTCTCTTACGTAAGACATTAAATTGTTAATATTTGAGCTAGAGTTGTAATAACAATGTCTTTATACGTAAGAGAGAATTAGAAGCTTATCAGGAATAGGGTTTGGGTTTTTTATTATATTTTCTAACAGGGTTAATTCCTTGGTTCATATAAAATGTAATTATACTGGGTCCAAACGATGAGATTATTAATTGACCATTTGTAATATAAGTAATTCATGTATCAACTTTTTAAATTTGTAATTTGTAAAGGCGTTAAGATGTTTTTGTTTTTCAATTTTTATTTTACATTTTATTTTCTTAGTGTGATGAGCGGGATTTGAACTCGCATATATCAGCTATACCTCGCTGACCGCAACCCAAGGGTCTCTCCAAGAAGAGAGACCCTGGGAACAAGGTTGCGCTGACGGTTGATAGAATGGCAGAGCACCAATTGAGCAGTCAGCAGACTGTCGGGTTGGGATAAAAAGCGGAACCGGAATGCGGATTCCGTAAGCGGATTCCGGATGCGGATTCCGCATTTGAGGATAAAACGCGGATTCCGCAAATGAGGATAAAACGCAGATTCCGGAAGCGGATTCTGCAAATGAGGATAAAACGCGGATTCCACATTTGAGGATAAAACGCGGATTCCGCATTTGAGGATAAAACGCGGATTCCGGAAGCGGATTCCGCAAATGAGGATAAAACGCGGAATTGCGTAAAAAAGGACGAAAAGAAGAATACTATCTATTTGGACTATTTCTTAAAATTATGGAGGGAGGTGGAAAATCGTATTTATCAAGAGCGTCTTCATTTTTATCTAAGTTTCTTTGTTAATGTTAGTAATATTCGGGCTTTGATGGCGCAGGCGTCAGAGGAAGCGCCTTTCACCTCTGAGATCGTGGGTTCGATTCTCGCTACGGATTCGATGTGAAAAGAGTCTGTCAACGCTCCGCCAAAAGTCGTGAGTTAGTCTCCGGGTGCAAATAGAGCAGAAATCAATTCAAAGTAGCTAAAATTACGACTTATACGCAAGACATATAACGCTTGTTGGGAACAGATTAATATGAACTTTGTGTTGGATTACTAGGTGTTTATGCATGGTTTTTGTCGGATTGCTAGGTGTTGTACGCATTGTAATTTATAAGGTTTCCTTTAATTTAATTGCGTATCAACATTCCTTTAGTAGTTGCCGCCGGGCCATATCCTGCTGCGTTCCAGACTTTAGTTCGAAGTTCGAACGCATAATATGAAAATATCGGTTAAATACTCAGTTGGACATTTGATCGCTTACACGCGTTTTGCTAAAACAGAAATTATTTTAGCAAAAGCAGTGTCTGAGGGAAAAAATGGAAATTTGAATTGATTTCTTAATTTCTGCTCTACTTGAATTGATCAAGTTACAAATTGATTCATATAAATACAATCAATAACTACAACCACGACCATCAAGTTGAATGCGGGTTGATTTTTTCTCCTCTTGATCTCGCAAAAAAATCTACCCGCAACCCGCATTTTCTAGCAAACCCTCACAAAGGTGATTTTCACCCTCACAAAGGTGATTTTTTTTAAGGTGATTTTTCTCCTGAATTATTAACGAGTTTTTTAAAGTAATATAAATTTCGTATAAAAAGTAATTTATATTATTAGTTGCTGGGGCACCTGTGCCAGCAACTATAGGTTTCGGGTGAATTTGGTCTCCTTCTCCGTCTCCTTCTCCATGGATAGTCGCAAAATGGAAATTCCCACTGATCTATATACGAAGCAATACGTGCATATATTTTCGCTATTTTGACGGTCTTAAAGTCTTCGTAAGTGTATAAAGTGAACGTCAAATTGTTCTTTCAATCACGCTTGTTCTTCTGGGGGTTTTTTGAAAGAAATCCATCAAGAATATACAAAATTATGTCGACGTTTCACTATCGAGGAGTGGAGTATATTCCGAGGTGGATTAACTGACAATATTAAACTGTGTTATTTATTCGTCGTACCATTATTTCTGAACGTTTATATTTTTGTTTTGTGAAGGTTTACATCTATATACGCTTTAATATGGCTTATAGTCTTGGTTGCTCCAATAGTCTGCATAAAAATCGTATTTGTTTACATGTATTGGAACTGTCATATTTGCATGCTAGCTCTATTTTCAAGAAGGCTCAAATGTTGGCTGTTTTGAAGTG